TCAGGGAGGGTGATTAATTTTCTCTAACTCATTTTTTTGTTCCACAGTCCCTTGAACTCGCACTTGAAAACGTGGCCCTTGAGCCCCAGGACCAACCCTCGACCGGAAGGAAAAGGGAAAAAAAAAAAAAAAAAATCCCTCCAGCCCTTGAGCCTCAAATGACCTCCTGAGCCGCCCTTCAGCCGCCCTTCAGCCACCCTTGAGATTTTCGTCATTTTGGCTGGGGAACACTTGAGTTTCAAGGGTGGACCCTAGAGATGCAAAATGTGGAAACATTTGGGACTTCCAAATCGTAGTAAATAGGGAGGGTGGAACGATGCTTCCTTGAAAATCCGTGATTTTCAACTAGTGTTGAGAAATGCCACTGAAGAGTAAGTGGAGCCATTGCACAATACTCGCCCGCTGAACTCTACAAAAATTTGTGTGCTGTAGAGGAGTGTAGCGAGGCCCATTCTCCCCAGAAACGAACCCTCTGCATCCAAAAAACGCACTCGACAAAGGTGTAGAGTAGCGTAGCGAGGCCCAATCTCCCCAGAAATGAGCCCTCTGCATCCAAAAGAAACGTTTTCATTTTTCTTCCTTTTTTCTCAGGGGCCATGCTAATCTTCTCTGTCTCGTTCCAGTTTTAACGGATGTCCCAAAGGACCAAAGAACCTTCTCTGCCTTTCGAGCAGAAGTGAGAATGGGCCTCGACTTTCCACATGCACAAAAGACAAAAAATATGGCAGTGCATCTTTCCATGTTCTAGCGGAAGATTCCTTCTCATTTTGCACATTTGGAGAGTAGTGCAGCCAGGCCCAATACCTGGGCAGAGGTCCCACTTGCTTGCATTATTTCGTTCTAGACCCCGCACATTCAATTTCACGAATGCGCAGAGGTCCCACTTGCTTGTATTATTTCGTTCTCGACCGCACATTCTATTTCAAGAATGGACGGACCACGATAAACCCAGAATCCCGATACGTGGGAGCTTCGGGCCTCACAGCACCGTTCACCCATGTGGGAATGGAGGGCGCATACATTCAGGTTGAAAGTGGAAAGATACACCGCCATGTCTTTTGCCTTTTTCACATTTCATAACCAGTGCGGTGAGGGACCTTAGGGTCAGATCCCACCACCCTGGATTATTCATTTTTTACCCTCGATTACGAAGATCAACGGTCAGAAATGAACAATTGGGGCTAGTGGGATCTGGTCCTTATCCCCACTAATGGTCCACAGTGTGCAAGAGGTGCAGAAAACACCTGTGCCTGTGCAGAGCCTTTCCCGGACTTCAGGACTACCGGTAGAAGCTCGCTCCACTCCCCGCCAACTTTGAAAATCTACACCTGCCAGATACCGAGTACACCGGCTACGCCTGAAAATTCGGAGGCCGGGCCCGACGACAAACGAAACGACTGCCATTGATAAGAGGCTGATCCCACTATGAACTTTTACCAAAAAGTCGTAAAAGTCCCTTGGAAGTAGGAGAAGTGCCGAAGGTTTCGTAGGGAAAAAGTGGGATCCCATAGCCCGGACTTCTTGGCGCTTTCCCGATTGCATCGCCGAATTTCGATGGCCGTGCACGGGTCCAGCGGAGACACCCAGTCTCCCTTTGTGCAAAAGAAAGACCGCGTTCACAAAACAAAACAAAAAAAAAAAACCCAAAAACTTGCCTACTTTTTGGGGGAAGGGTAGGGGGTCACGGGCTCCCTACCTTTTCCTACCAACTTCACGCTGCGGGTCAAGGCGGTGGCGACACGCAAAATTCCGTGAGTAGAAACAGGCATTTTCTGTTGCACTGCCGTCGGACTGTGAAGTTGGGGAAACCATATGGGATCCCCTTTTTTTCCAAAAAGCTCTGCTACTAATAACTGTGGGATCAGGTACTAAATCTGATCGGCGGCTGTCGTTTCGTTTGTTGTCGGCCCGGCCTCCGAATTTTCAGGAGTAGCCAGTTTTCCCTATTTTCCCATGCGGGAAAGGTACTAGTGGTTTAAAATTGGAACCATACAGAGAAAGAGAAGATTAGCATGGCCCCTGCGCAAGGATGACACGCATAAATCGAGAAATGGTCTAAGGCTTGGATCCCACTACGCATTTTTACCAAAAAATCGAAAAAGTTCCTCAAAAGCAGGCACCTGGCCTTTCGGACCGTATAAGCTTTTTTGAGCCCCACAGGGCCGACGTTCGTGGGCTGTTACAGCGCGGGGGGCGAAAAGCGGTGGCCGTGCGAGGGACCTCTGAATTTTGGTTGGTCCGTATGGAGAAAAAAGAGAGACATACGGGCCCCCCGACTTTCTGGGGGCAGGGATGGGGCTGCCCGCTTCTGGGAAAGTCCCCACCGCTTCACGGCTCGGGTGTCGGCCTGCACAACACGTCCCACATTGACAGTAGAAACAGCCGGTTTGTATGATGCACGCATCGCATCCGTATCATTGTGGGATCGGGTTTTCGGACCTTAAAACCCCTCACTAGAGTCTGTGGATCCAAGCCCGTTACATCCATATTTGGCGAGTTGCGAGGCGACCGGTACGCCCCAATATACATGCCGATCTGTCGACGACAACGTTCCGGCCAGAGAAATGCCAGACGTTTCGTGCCGTACCTGACCAAAGGGGTACCCGCCTCTGCATACATAGATATATTGAGATTCAGGCGTCAACGGTTCGAGTCCCCCCGTGATTTGATCTAAAAAGTCGAAAGCAGAATGGTCCCGCGTCTACATAGAGATGCATGCGTCAACGGTTTTCGCATCTAAGAGCCAACGAACGCTACGCGGAAGACGCCGACCGAAACTGACCCTGCATGGAAATGCCAGCAGACAGATGCCAGCTGGCAGCAATACACACGTGAACAGAGGACAGTGCGCCAAAGCTTGAGGCTCTGGTGTTAGGTGTGAAAGACAATCGATTTCCTCCTCCTCCCCTCCCCTCCCCTTCCCTCCCCTCCGACCCCGACCAACAAAAAAACGATAGTTGACTAGACCGTCGAGTCGAGAAGGCGGCGTGGGAGAATGGAAAGACGGGGGCAGTACTTCGGGACATCCGTTAAAATTGGAGCGATACACAGAAGATTTCCATGACCCCTGCGCAAGGATGACACGCATAAATCGAGAAGGACGGGGGCAGGAATGGAACATAGAGATGCATGCGGCAAGCAGTACCAGACAGGATGAGGACGGGGAGAGAAGTCAGAAGAGTACGAAATGGAGGAGGAGACAACTGAAAGTGGTCCCACTTGCTTGTATTATATTATAGTATTTCGTTCTAGGATGAGGACGGGGGACCTCTGCCCAGGTATTGGGCCTCGCTGTAGTAACGGACAGGATGAGGGCGGGGAGAGCAGTCAGAAGAGGACGGGGAGAGCAGTCAGAAGAGGACGGGGAGAGCACTCAGAAGAGATGGAACAGATTTGCGGCAAGCAGTAACAGACAGGATGAGGACGAGGAGATAGAGAGCAGTCAGAAGAGTAGGAAAGGGAGGAGGAGGAGACAACGGGCGACCAGCAACAGGAGGAGGAGGAGGAGGAGGAGGAGGAGGAGGAGAAGAAGGAAGACGACGACGAGGGAAACAAAATTTGAGACACACATGTAGATATCGTAAAAGAAGCGCCGAAAAAGAGCAAAAGTACAAAAAGAAGTCCTGAACGATGGAGATCTCCCGTCCGTAACGAAGAAAGGGCGGGAGGAAATGGAGTAAGGCGAGCAAAAGAACAAAAAGAAGTCCTGAACGATGGAGATCTCCCGTCCGTAACGAAGAAAGGGCGGGAGGAAATGGAGTAAGGCCCTAGCTCCACCACTCGTGGCGAAACTGCTGAGTGCACCTTTCCACCTTCTAGCTGAAGGCACAATCGCTATTTTATGCATTTGGAGAGGGGTGCTATTTTTCTATGCATGTGGAGAGGGGTGCTATTTTTTATGCATTTGGAGAGGGGTGCTATTTCTTATGCATTGGGAGAGGGGTGCAGTCAGGGCTAAGAAGGGGAGAAGGGGAAACAAACAGCGGAAGAGGAAAGTGGATACCATTCTCAGCCATTTGGTTTAGATCAAGTGTGGAATCTGTTGTTTTTTCCAGATCAGTCTGAGCAAAACAGGAAAAATACAAAAGGAAGGAAGAGGAAGAGCCGATGTCTTCCAATACACATCATCATTTGACGCAAAACAAAAGAAACAAGAAACCATTTTTTATTTTATTTTTTTTATAAGAAGAAACCACTTTTGACATGGGTGTGAGTCATTACCGCAAATGTAGAACCTGTCTTTCCGGTCAGTTAAAGAGAGGAGGGTTGGAGGGGGAGGGGGGCGAAAAAAGAGGAAGAGAACGGAGAGCAGGAAGGGCCGATATGTCTGTCAATAGAAAAATCTTCGCAGTCAAAGGGAACAAAAAAAAAAAAAAAAAAAAAAAAGATAAAAGGCTGACCGTGTTTTTACGGTACGTAAAAGGGGGGGGAAGAAAACCCTTTACGGGGTACGTGCATACCCCGTAAATGGCGAGCATTGTTGGGCAAAAAAAGGGGAAAGACGGGAGGGACACAAAAAAAGGAAAAAAAGAACAAGGGGAGAGAGGCAAGAGAAGAACGAAATGAGGAAGGAGGAGATGAAAGGGGGAAGACGGGATAGGCGGGGATTTATTTATTTTTTTCCTTTGGATAGGCGGGGATTTAAAATGGTACGTAAAAGGCGGGAAATTAAAACGGTAAGTAAATCTGAAACTGGGGCTTGAGATGGGGCCAATGAAAAACAACCGGACAGAATGGGAAGATGAGATGAAGGGAATGAAGGGATGGGCGAGAAAGGACCAGATGATATGAAGGGAATGAAGGGATGGGCGAGAAAGGACCCAGGGGGCGGGAAGGGGGACAGGAGGTGAGATGGGTGCACCTACCGTCTTCACCGGAATAGAACGCCCGGTAATTATCGCCGTATCTGGGCTGAAAGTTGTGCCAAATTATACAGCTATAATGACCGGGCGTTGTATTCGGTATATTTGAGTGAAGACGGTAGCCCAGCCCATGTGGCTGAATGTGACACCCATTTACTGTTGACAAACTCTTAAAAAAAGACCAAAGGACCGAAGTTCGAGAAAGGACCAAAGGTCCTTCGGGACATCTGTTAAAATTGGAACGATACAGAGAAGATTAGCATGGACCCTGCGCAAGGATGACACGCATAAATCGAGAAATGGTCCAAACTAAAATTAAAAAAAAAAAAAAAAAAAAAAACAAAGGACCAAAGTTCGAGTCCTGATGGAATGAGATGTGAATAAAATGACTTGGAATCACCTTGGGCCAATCAGTTTGATGGCGATACCTCAAGAGCCCTCGCCCGTTATTAAAATAAATAAACTCTAGAAAAAAGGAAGCCTAGCTTTAGGGGGGGAAAAAAAAAAAGAAAGGAGATGGACCAAGGAAGAGAAGGACACTAGGACGGAAGGGTATAGTCGCACCACCGGTAGGACGAAAGGACAGAATCTTACGGCTGTAATTGCGGTCAGATGCATCCGGAAAACTCACGGGTGTGAGAGTATGGCCTAATTCACACAAAGAGAGGGAAGAGGAAGCAGAAAGGAGCCAAAGAAAAAGACGAATGGAAATACGATGTCGAGGAGGAGGGAGGCGACCGAGGAGTAGGTTCCCAGGGGTTAAAAAAGAATGACCAAAACAATAGAGAGGGGTAGTCAACGGATTTTCTAGTTTGAATTGTGATCGGGAGAGCAAAGAGCACCGGCCGGGCAAAACGAGGAGGGAGGGGAAGGGGGAGGGGAAGGGGGAGGGGAAGGGGGGAAGGGAGTGGGAGGGAGTGGGAGAATGGAGAAACAGTGTGAGACGCGAGAGAGATTGGGGCGAGGAGAGGCGCGAAGAGGAAGAGAAGGAAGAAGATCGGAGAGAGAGGAGGAGATGACGGGCGCGGAGAAGACAAATAGTGTACGAGAATCGTTGGCCCGTTCTTCGTCCTTCTGCCACGTGGACGCACGTGGCCGAGGACAAGCCAAGTGACATTCTGGTCTTTTCTTTGTCCCCCTCCTTCAGAGCAGACATGGCGCTCCTCCCTCTTCCCCTTCTCATCAGAAACATGATTCAGGGCCTCGCCGCACTAATCGCCAAAAGCACAAAAGACAAAATTTCCGGCGGTGTGTCTCTGAGAAAGCCATGTCCTAGCGGACTATTCATTCTCATTTCGCACATTTGTTTGGGTGAGTGGTGCGGCGATGCCGTCAAACTCACCAGTACTTCCGCAGTCAATCACAACGGCGTAATCCGCCTGCTGCTGCACCCTCTCCCAATTCCAGACCAATCCGACAGCCAAGAATAGGACAGCAATAAGCGCCGCGGTAATGCCACGTCGCCAGACCGAATCGCAGGACGCAATGACAGACAAGAGCTTGGCAAACCCTTCGCCTACGCGCCAGCTCGGCGCGCTTTTGGGACCGCTTTCGATCGACACAGGGAGGATCGCCATGCCACCCGAATGAAGTCCTCCAAGCGACTGCCTACCGCCTAACCCCACTCCCGCCAGCCCGCCTAAGCCTGTTCCCGTCAGAATTCCGCCTCCTCCCCTCGCTATTCCCCCTCCTGCACTAATGCCCCCTCCTCCAACTCCTCCCATAATTCCCCCCCCTCCCCCAGCCAAGGCCATTTCTAAGCTGATGGACCCTGTGCTTCGCGACCGAATTAAGCCCATATTTTTTAGCCTCTGCTGGACAGCGGACCTGTCAACCACTGCGCGCCAACCCCGTCTCCACGTGGCAACCCGTCCAAGGCAGTCGGCTAGTCGATCATATCGAGCCCAAACACGGCGTATCGTCTTTTCTTGACGCTCTGCCTCTTCAGAGCACAACCTATTTATTTGATACGAAAAGGAGGGAGCCCCTGGGGCGTTATGTCGTCAGCCGACTCAGCCCCCTTATACTCGTGGTTCCCTATGTCCATCAAGCTCCCCAGTATTAATTTTTTCACTGTACAGACCCCTGCACCGTCACACTCATGGCTTCCCCGCCTCTTTTCGATCGCTTCCCCGCCTCTTTTCGATCGCTTCCCCGCCTCTTTTCATCGCTTTCCGCCCATTATTCCGATCGTTTTCCCGCCTTTTCTCATACCTTTCCCGGCTTTTCTTATACCTTTCCCGCCTTGGTTCATCGCTTCATCGCAAATTCCGTCTTCTCCTTTGTTCTTCTTCTTACTTCTTACAGAACGGTCATGAGAACCTTATCATTCATTAGCTGCCAAATCAGATCATCCTGTCTCAGCCCGTCCTCACACTTGAATTTTTCGGCATGAATTTCAAGGAGATACTGTATGTGGTGGTGAGCTACACCCAGCCATGTCCGCTTGCGCCCCCTGCTTCGTCCATAGATTGAGCGAGTGCTCCTCATCCATCACGCTCCTCCTAATTTGCTCGCTCTTCTTGTCGCACAAGCAAACGACACGGCGCGTGGATTGATTGACCCCCTCCGCTCAATCTGACCTGCCCTGGCAAGGTAGCCATGGAGCAGCGCGCGCCACGTGTACGAGGAACATAAGGTGTCCCCGCACCGTTGTACCGTTGCGCCCGCCGAACGCTCGTGGAGAAAATCCAATTATACCAAAATCAATACCAACCCCCGTCCGCCCGATGCCCCTCGGTTGTCCCTTCCCTGTGAAAGAACCAATCGACGTGTCATCCTTGCGCAGGGGTCATCCTTGCGCAGGGGTCATGCTAATCTTCTCTGTATCGTTCCAATTTTAACGGATGTCCCGAAGGACAAAGAACCAATCGACGACCCTTTCGTCGCCAAAAAACAAAAACGAAAAAAAAACAGATGCAAGACGCCCTTCTTTTTTTTCTTTCGCAAAGAAGCCCAGCTCGAACCCCACTGCCGAGCCCCGCACCTTACAAAAGACTGCAAATCGCGAAACAACGACCAGCGCCCGAAATTTGAAAAAAAATAAAAAATAAAAAATAAATCATAAAACGGGAAAGATCCAAAGAACAGCACATCTCAAAGACAGAGGGCCTCGTTCGACACCACGTGAGATCTGCGAAATGTCAAGGAAACATCGTTCCACCCCTCCCGAATTACGACGATTTTCAAAGTCCAAATGTTTCCAGGGGTCTCGCTCCACTACACTACACTAGACTTTAGTCTAGAGTCCATCTAGCGTTGTCAGACTCTAGAAAATAACAAAAAGTAGACCTGGCTCCACTTACACTAGAGGGGGCTACTATCGAAGGACTCTCTAACACTCCAAAGTGGAGTCTAGTGTAGTAGAGGGAGGAAACCACTCCCAAACCTGCAAATTGATAATGAATCTTGTGCTGCAACATGGAAAGATACATGGGGCTGCAGTCTCTACTGTCTACAGCAGCCCCCATTCCACAAGGGGACACAACCAGGGTGGGTTTTCGACCCAGACTTGCCGTTCACTCTCCAATTTCACTGTCGAGGACCCTAGAGGAAACAGGCGCTGCAGGCAGGGCCACTCTAAAGGACTCAAGAGTGTGGGTCTAGTTTCTGACAGCACGAGACACACATTTTAGAGAGATTTTTGTAGTGTAATTGGAGCGAGGCAGACCTCTCGAATTTTTGAGAGTCTAGTGTAGCGGAGCGATGTGACGCCCAAAACCTCATGCCCGGCGCGACTTCCTGATCGGAGTGGGATGTGGGCCTGGAAGTGCGAAAAAGGGGTGTGCCAAGGATTTTTGGGAAAAGTGGGGGTGGAGTCTCAGGTCGGAACTGGGACCTCCTGTGGCAAGGATTCAGGGGCATAGATGCAATAGGACTAAGGGGCGGGTTACTTCCGGTCTGATGGCGGTCGTTGTCGTGCAGCCTAAGGCAGATGGCATGCGCGGTGCATCAGAGGCTGTCTGATCCGTCTGTTTTGGTGACGGCGGTTCGGAAGAGGCTCGTGAGGGTTGTGGTTCTTAGAAGTCGGATCTTCGAGGGCAGACACGTGGCATCTGTCGCCGCGTGTTATAGTTGCGCTCCGTAGTCCCCGGGGTTCGGTGGTGGCTGCGTCGTCTGCAGTTTCCGCACGGCGTGCGGGGCCAATACAGGGCGATGGAATTTCACAGTACCACAGTGAGCTGGTGATACGGGAGGAGAAGACGGAAGGGAGGGAAGTTGGTAGTGATAACGACAAAACCGGGGGATATGAAGTATTGCGTGTTATACGTAGTTGGGTAATTGGGGCACCTTGGATCGCTGGTTACGGCACAGTGAAACTCCCTGGGACACAATCGGTTCTCGGTTAGGCAGGGAAATTCCGGACGTCTCTGCCTGAGTTTTTCCCTTACCCAAGGTTCGAAGTACTCTGAGTCCCATGAGTTCGACATCTTGTCATTGCGGCATAGGGGAAGCCTCTCAATCGGCCATCTCAGGACTTGCCCGGCCCTGAACCCAGCCATTCGAAAAGAAGCGACGGAAAAAAAAAGACGAAGAAGCGAGGACACTGATGCAATTTCCCTTCGATCCCAATCTCCCGTAATTGGTTCAACCTTCCCATCTCAGGACCCCTCATTGTAGTCGCGCAGAAAACCGCGGGGAACAAAAATTGGTTTGTCAGAGAGACCTCACGTTTAGCATCTCTAGGCTCTGCCCTAACTTCTCAAGTGAGGCCCAGCCAAAACAACAAAATCTCAAGGGTGACTAGGGAGGTGTCATAGACCTATGACGAACCAGCTTCCGGACCTGCGCCATCTTTCGGACCCCTTTCCTTCCCGTGTTTTCTCCGCATCAAGATGCGTCTTGCTCGGCCCTCGACCCCCCCCCCCCCCCCCCCCCCTTTTCTCTCGATTAAACTTGAAGGTACCTCGCTGGAATCTGTATTTTTGTCAACACTAGTAGTTCTTGAAATTCCTTCATTTTTGTAATTTAGAAATGCATGGGAATTACGCTGTCATGCGCGACGGTCCCGCACCCCTCTGGGAGCGCTGAACCTCACGGTCGTATCACGCAGGATGTATTCCTGAAAAAGAACCAGTCACCACTCCAACCGTGCGCACGTGCTATACCTCTCACGACACCCCACGACAAGTCGTGGAGCAGCGAGGTATAACTTACCTCTACCCGAGGGGCTGTCACCACCCTCAAGTAGGCGTATCCCTGCTGAGCTACCGGCCCACATGCAAAGGTTTTTACATGCCTTTGTAGAGGTAGGTCGACCAAGGGCGTTTGCTCGATCGCTGTAGCATAAAACGGGGTACGCGCGGTAAGACTCCTAGAATTGACCCGTTAGATATTCAGGTCGAACTTTTAATAAGGCAGTCTATTTTCGCTACTGCGTAATGTATTATTCTTTCGACCAATATCAATCAAATCTTCTTTCTACCAAAGAGCGTTTCTTAACAGGTTAGGACTTAACTGAACATCAGAATAGTATTGAAGTTAAGTTGGACATATGATGAATATGGAAGTATTACCACTGAGAACCCTTCCCACTTTCACAAGTGTTGTCCGTCCGAGACTCTTCAACAGACCAGGTCCAGTTCAATACAAAAATCACGCACAAAACAGACCTGCACAGAATAATGCAAAGACAGTTCACATGCCATGCACTAACGGAGTCAACCATCAACCATTGACCTTGTTCCTCACTTCCCAAACCATGTATGACAGCCTTGTCTTTCCTGAGACGTAAGCCCAGCCCCCTCACATTTCTTCAAAGGACCCTTGAGAGTGACTAGGGTCATTTAGGCAATGACCACAGGTGATAGTTTTACTGACCACATGGTTTGTCTTTAGAGGTGGGTATCAAGTCAAAGGGGAAAGTTGAATCGGTAACAACCGACCTGTTATCGAGAGATAACAGAAAATTTGGATCCTTTTGTAGATCCTTTCCTTCCAATACAGCAGTAAAATGAGTCCGGACCGGCCCACACACAGGTCAACAAAATTCAACACCCCCACCCGATTCCCCACATATTGAGATCTAAGGGTCAAACCCTTAGACATGGGTAGTGAGCTCTAGGATCGACATCCCAGGTCTAACTCCTAACGTCTATTCTCACAACCCTACCCTACGTCGTTTGTCACTCTCTCCTTTTCTCTCGAGGAGTCTCATGTCTGTGTCCTAGGTTGTCTTTTAGGGAAACTCGTGTTTACCCTACTCTCAGTCCTTGCATATTCCTTCTTCGAGATAAGCGCACTGTCTTGACGCTTACGTAGATGAATCATAACTCGTTCGTCGTTGTGGCCTTCCATCTGAAAGTCGTGGATGGTTATGGACTACGAGGTGGTTCTTAAGTTTCTTTCTCCAGCGGTCCTAACATACTACATTGTTCTCGTTTCAGATATGCAAAGACCTTGCTCCAACAGGAGCATTGGTCTTTCCTTTCTCTTCTATTTGTGTTAACATACTCAAGTAGTAGGCTGGTTCAGACATGAATCTCTTGCTACTTGATCAATATCAAGCAATCAGTTAGTCAAAGCAGACAGTCGAGTAAGTTACTCATGAGTAGTTGACTCTCTCCTTAGTCTCACTCACTGCATACATAAGATTTGATCAGAGTAGCAGGATGACTCACATATGAGTATCCTTCCTACAACAAATAGTAAAGGTTTTCTACAAAAGCACCCTACTACTCGTTTTAGGTATCATTTGATGGATCTTGATGTCAGTCTTCTTCCAGAGGTTAATAACGGTCTGCGTAAATAATAGGCGACCCGCACAAGAGCCCCCTAGTACCACGTGAGAAGGTCCACTTCATGAGAGCATTAGGATAATCCTAACAAGGGTTTCCTGTTGCCCTTCCGAAGT